ATATATATATATATATATATATATATCTTATATGTGCGTTAAATTTGAAAAAATGATTAGAGAAGGGTTTGAGGCCAGTGTTTGGTTACAAATTTAGTCACGTGCATACCATTTTTAAGATATAAAATTATGAAAATATCCCTTTTCTCTTCCAATAAAGCCCTTGTATATAAGAAGAAGAAGAAGACGAAAGAGAGAGATATTATCATTTCACTTTCTTTTTTTTTCCTTCTTCTCCTTCAGTTATAGAGGGACACTTTAATATTTTCAGTATTCAGTCCCTTATTTGTTCAAAAATTAAATGTTAATTTTTTTTTTTTCATAACGTATAAAAAATTATAGATTCTATATGCATACCATTATATGTTTTTCACTCAGCAACCCTAAAATCAAGTACTATTTTTCGATTTGTGTACATCTAATCATAACATAATAAACTCTCTGAAGTATCAATTTCTCCAACATTCTTCACTATCACAACCCCTTCCAAAAAATAAAAAGAACAGGAAAAAAAAGGAAAAATGAAAAGGAAGAGAGGGACATATGAACCTCAAGGGTCACCATCAATTTGCTGTAAATATGAATATATGATTAGACATAGAAAATTAGCACAATAAAATTGTTGTGATCATTGACCATTTTGACCCTGATAATTGATCTATTTGTACATGTAACTGAAGGTGGGCATACACATGAATGAGAATATAAATATCGTTACCAAACGAAATATCCTGCAAAAAGAAAACAAACAAGACATTATTATGGTAGTGTTCTTTTGTAAACTTCAGCAGAGGAACAATTATTCAAAAACAGAAGACCATTCATTTGCTTTATTGACTTCTAGTGATTTACAAGGTAATAAAGTCCAAAAAGAAATTATTAGATGGAAATATCAAAAAAAGAAAAGAAAAGAAATGAAAAATGAAAGAAAAATTAATTTTCTAGTAGGTAATTGGTTAGGATGAAAATTTATTTAAAAAATGGTAAAAAAATATCATATTATAGTTTAGATACCTAAATTATTCTTATTTTATAAAAATAGTAAAATAATAAAGAATTAAATAATAATAATGTATATAAAAACTATGGAGTTTTCAATTAATTTGGACCTTACAAACTATACTACTTATTTCATTTATATATGATGGAAAACAACTAAAAATGGAACTCAAGTTAATTAAAATCCTATCAATGATAAAGTTATTGTTGGATTGCAATTCTTTAAAATTCAGTATAAAAAACGTGTTGTTGGTCTCATCGATGAAATTGTTTGGTAAAATAGGAACATAAAATAAAATGTGCTGCTTTCATGTGAAAATGAAATTTTTCCGTATTTTGTGTAGAAAACATTTTGAGAAAAATAAGAAAAATTATTAGATGGTCTGGAGCATTTGATACTTGGTGGACCAATTTAATCTAGACCGTTGTTTAGATTTCTTTGTAATATAATAATATACTCTTGTGGGGTCATTTTTTCAATCGGGAAGTCTGAATTTAATTAGTCCACCAAATGTTAAAGGTGCAAGATAGTCGAATAATTTTTCGAAAAATAGAGGGTTACAAGAATTCTAATTATTAATTTTATTTATTTTTATTTATTTTTATTTTATATATATTCAAACTTCAAAAAAAATTTAATTTTTTTTTATTTCATTTCTTTTCCCGTTAATTATATTTAACCAGACAAACTGTTATATGAATAAATGGTTTAGAAGGCTAATCTCACATTCATGTAATTTTAAATGGATTAATTTTGATTTAGACATCATGACAAGACCCATTTATTACGTATAAGTAAATTACCATACCGACCTCACATATCTCATTTCTTGTTATTACCTTCGCTTCCCAACACATTCAAGTGTGGCACTTGGTATAACACCTAGTACCAATTGTTGTTGGCTGGACAGATACTTAACTGATTCAAAATTTTAAACTATTGATAGTAATACATACTTATTCATATATATCTATTTTATTTTTTATTAAAATTCGACGTGAAACACTTCTAACAAAAGTATCATACAACGTTAATAATAAAAAAATAAAAACTAACTGTTATTCATCAGAAATCATCGACCATTAGAGACAATCTTGATTTCGACTTCTAAAATCCTCTTTTTTTTTTTTTTTTTTTTTTTTTTTTTTTTTTTTTTTAAGTTCATTGTTATCCCAAAGAAATATTCGCCAAGAAGTTGGTAAAAAAGGGAAAGTAGGTATATTCTCCCAAAATAGTTGGTTGACCCCAAAAAAATGCAAAATCTTTGGAGTACAATATTCAACATCATGAAGGGCTTTGAAAGGGGCAGCCCAACACCCTCCACCCCTCAATTTGCGTAAGAGTAAGACAAGGCCCTGATTTCCCTCGTGCCCTAATCGAGACATCTATATGGTCCTTCCACCCTATAATAAAGTGTCCCCAAATGTCTTAATTCGGTGCTTCTCTCGTCTATATCCCTCTTTTATACCATAATTACTCCCACCTTAATCTTCTACTTTTGTCTCCAAATTTTGTGTTTTTTTTTTTTCTCCCACAATATACAATTTTTTTTTTTTAATTTTTAAAATACCATAATTACCCCACCTTAATCTTCTACTTTGTCTCCAAATTTACAATTTTTATTTTATTTTTTTAAAAAAAAGAAGAAGAAAAAGGAAAAAGTTGGCAAATTTTTTGGTTGTGGTCAATGAAATTTGGCCTAAAAATAAACTTCGAATCATGGTTGGGATGTTTATAATTCGTGAAAATATTTAGATTCTCTTCAATAAGTTTGAAGTTTGAACTGAACTAGTTTGAAGTATAAGTTTGAGAATGAGAACAAAAAATATTGATACAAAGTAATGTCCAAAAATTAAGCTTAGGTTCAGTGTTTCAATCTCGAATAAATGGGAAATATGTGACTGTGAACTAAAATCTTTTTGGTACTGTTTTCATTTTATTTCTCATTTTTTGAAATTGTAGAAATAAAAAATGATGGGAAGTTCAAAAATAATAATTTTGGAGCTACTTTTTTCTCAAGTAAGAACAACCATCCTCTGTTGTTCCAACAATCCTGCAAGGAGAAATTTTTTACACGGTCTTGGTCAATTACAACTTGACCACATTTTTTCCTAATGCCAACAACCCGATTGGTTAAAAGAGTTCTAATGCACATTGAAAACTCGAATACTCAAACTCCCCTTGTGAGATGAGGGAGAAATAATATTAGGTTAAAGCCATGGTCATTGTGGATTTTTTAACTCACAATTGACTTGAAATTTTTTTTTTTTTTTACAGTGAATAAAATCATTTTAGATAATTTATTGAAGCGAAAATAACAAATTATTATTATTATTATATCGTGATAATGGTTAGTAGGAAGGAGGAGAAAAATCGAACTCTAAACACATATGGTGGGGGGCCACTAAAGACATAACCCTTTTACCACTTGGGCAACACAGCCACACCTTAAAATAACAAATTATTTATAGGTAAGGCAACCTAATAATCCAAGGATCTACATATTAAAAAGGAAGCTTCCTTTTTCACTTTTGCTAAGAGGAAGCTTCCCCTATCCACAGTTCCACAATAGTTCCCATTTCTTGTCTATAGCAAGAATGTCTCAACAAAGAATAAATAAATAAAAAAGAAATAGCACTAACTTTATTTTTAATTTTTATTTTCTTTCTGAGATAACAATATAACTCTAAATTTGAGGATTACCCAGAAGAATTTTTTATTTTTATTTTTATTTATTTATTTATTTCATTTAATTTTAATTTTTTTCACAATAAACTCACAAACTCATTTGTCTCTATGGAGACTTGAATTCTCATGCCTCAATTTGAGAGTTTAAGAATGTGCTATTGAGTTATAATCTTTGATTTGTTTTTAAAAAAGATAATTAATATGAATACAACAGAGTTATATAAATCTGTATCATGCAAATGGAAACATTATCCATTTTTTCAGGTATTTAACAAAATTCTTTTGATTAAAACATTTTTTCTATTCGAGTGAAAAATAAGAGTGACATTTTTGTATTTTTATAATATCACTATAAGAAGAATTGTTTGCGATAGCCAAATGCAAAATCATCATCATGAATATCTAAATTTAATATTTTCTGTAAAATTTTTAGAAAGAAATGCACATTCTCGTAAAAAATATTACAATGTCTATGATAGGATCAAAATAAATATATTAAGATAGGATCAAAATAAATCTATATTTCTAATTTATAGAGAAGCATTACTCATTTAGATAAATAAAAAAACAATTATAATTTTTAGCTTTATCGAACAACACCTAAATTTAAAGAAAATGTTAAAATATTCTTTTTTTTTTTTCTTTTTTTTTTTTTAATAAGAAAATGTTAATATGTTGCCACTTACAACCTCAATAAATACCATAAATTAGAAAGTAAAACTTAAACATGAACTTGTAGTTTACATATAAATCCAAACTACATTTTTAAAACATGGAGCAAAATATAGATTTGACCAAAAGTCCAAAGGAACCTAGCTGATAAAGGTTTCTTTCCTTTCTTAATTCTATTTATTTCTTTCTTCGATTTAACATTTTTATTTTTTCATCTTATTGGTGTATGTGTATATATATATATTTCTACCCTTATAAATAATTTTTATGTGCCATCACCCAATAACCTAATTGATAAAGTATGGAGTTCCGTTAAGAGGGTGATTGTATTTGAACCCCCCTCTCCAATAATTAGATTTAATTTTGTGAAAATCATTTTATAAAACTAAATTAAAAAGTCTGTTTTTATTGAAAACTGATTTTTGAGTCTCTAATTTTCATTCACGAAACAAGTCTTGATTTGAATAAAATATGAGTAACAAAATTCGAATCAAAAGTAAAAAAATAAAAAAATAAAAAAATTTCAAAGAAAAGGAAAAAGAAAAAGACAAAAGAAAATGACAAATAGTAAAGGGAAAGATGATGACGTGTCAACACATAAAGCAGATGGATCGGCATTTCTCTCCTTCATTCTGTCTCTCTTTTTTCTGCCCAAAAAATCCGCGGTCTCACTCTTTCGTTTCTTAAAACATCAAAACAAAAATTAATTTATATATATATGTATATATATATATCTGGATATATATAATTTATATAACTTTCTCTCTCTGTTAATTATAAATTCACACCATCCTCTCCCTCTCTCCCTCTCTCTCCTCTTTGAAGAAATTTCTTCTATCTGTTTATTGTCTCTCTTACTCTGTGTATTTATCTGCGAAACTTAGGGTTTTGTTTCTCACACTACCAACAAACAACACACAGCTTCAGAGGTACGTTTTGGTTCAACAATTTCTTCCATATTGTTTTGTCTCAACGATCTTACTTCACTCCCCTACAATTTCTTTTTTTCATTTTTGGTTTTGATCCCGATTTGGTTCAATTTCATTCTTCCTTCTTAATTATTATTATTATTATTTTTAATTATTTACGTCGCTTTTGGATTGAACAATTTGATTTTGACCTGCAATACCTGTAATTTCGTCAGGGGATGTGTATCGAACGATCATCAATCTCAAAAATTTTAGGTCAGTTTTTATGCGTGTGTTTTCTTGTGTTTCGATCTCAAATTAGGGTTTGCTTTTGTTTTTCTATTTGTTGAATAGGTTATTAGTTAGGAAGATCTTTGTTTTAGGTCTAGAAATGGCGGTTTCTGTGGATTGAAAAAGGTCATTTCTGGGTAACTGAGTGTGGTGCTGGGTGGGTACCGGGTAGGAGGTGGGTTAGGATGACAGATATTCAGCAACAATTACAGCAGAAGCCTGAGAGCACTGCGGATGCCCGGTCTGAATTTGAGCGGGGGTTGGAGGAATTAATGCGTGGGCATTTGGATGATTGTATGTCGTATGCATCCTGTAGCTCCTCGCGTAATACCGAGGATGAGGATGATGAGGGTGATCAGCTTGTGAGGAGGAGGAGGAGGTCGGATCTTGATGGTGATGACCTGGCTGAATCTTCTGCCGCCCGGAGGCGTCACTCTCGCATTTTGAGTAGGTGGGCTGCCCGGCAGGCCCAGGAAATGATTACAACTATTGAGAGGAGGAATCGTGAGACTGAGTTGATGGCACTTGCAGGTTTGCATACCGTTTCCATGCTTGATTCGTCCTTTTTGAGGGAGTCGCAGTCTCCAACTTCAAGGCGGCAGGGTAATGTTGAAAGACCGAGTACCCGAGCATCGTCTATTCTGCAAATGTGGCGAGAGTTGGAGGATGAGCAATTGTTGAGTCGAGCCCGTGAAAGGGTAAGGGAAAGATTGAGGCAGCAGAGGAGTGTTGAGTCTAATACAAATCTGTCGAGCACAAACATGTCTGAAAGCCGGGGGAGTGAGAATCAGGTTAGTTTGGAGGATGCAAGTGAGAGTGAGAATGACTTTGGAGCATGGTCCCATGATCAGACGGGCCAGCAGAATGAACATGGAGACCGTGACAGTTCTAGCCGTGAACAGTCTCCTGATCTTGGTGAAGTTGAGAGAGAGAGGGTTAGGCAAATTGTTCGGGGATGGATGGAGACTGGCATTAGTGATCATTCATCTAACATTGCTCAGAGGAGCAATAGTCCAAGAGCAGAATGGCTGGGCGAAAATGAGCGTGAGAGGGTTAGGATTGTGAGGGAGTGGATGCAAATGACAAGTCAACAAAGAGGTGCCCGTGCTGGGCGGAGGGAAGAACAAGTTGCTGGAGCTGGTATTCAAGTTGACCAAGTTCGTGTAGGGTCGGTTGCTGACCATGATGAAGGCCAGCCAGAGCATATTCGCAGGGACATGCTGAGGTTGCGGGGAAGACAAGCTCTACTGGACTTGCTCGTGAGGGTCGAGAGAGAAAGACAGAGGGAACTTCAGGGTTTGTTGGAGCATCGGGCTGTTTCTGATTTTGCTCATCGCAACCGCATTCAGGTCAGTTGTTTGTCATTGATGTTGTTTAGTGATCTGAAATGTTGTTTGTACTTTTTAACTTGTTCAACCATGCTTAAATACTTGATGCATGCTTAATGATTCCAGCTGCATGGAATGATATGGATGTTAGTTTTAGAACTTGAACAGATTGCTGTGAAATGGGAGTGGAATAACAAAAATGCATTGGATGCGCTTGACAGAATCTAAAGACATAATGTAGAATGTTATGTGTAAATTGAACATTCTTTCCTCTGTTTTATCTCCATTTTTTGGAACACGCAAGATATGGTTTCTGATAAGTTAATATTGAGATCCAATTTTGGTTATGCAACTTCAGTATAAAGTTCAAGGTTACAAGATGGGCCTGATCCAGTAGTTCTGGAACAAATAAGCACGTATGTACCATGTATGATAGAGAAGAATTATGTCTTTCTATACTGCCACTGCTAGAAAATCCTCACAGGATATTATTTATTTCATTTTAATGGGAAAAAGAGTATTGAGTTTTTTATTTTTTATTATTATTATTTTTTTGGGTCTTATAAAATTTGTACGGTGCTTAAATGGTGAAAAAAGGACTTTTGTAGTCCATCTCGAGTAGTTGGGTATTAAATATCTGCTGGGATAAGTTCGATTTAGTAGCTTGCGCCCCCCCCCCCTCCCCCCCTAAAACAAATGATGGAAAAAAGAAAAGAAAAGAGAAAGAAAAACATGTAAAAGGTGAACCCATTGAATCTTGTCGCCATGCATTTATGCATTTTAGATTACACCTGCTTAAGTGTTACCCAAAGAGGTAGGTTATTGCCTACTAAACCTTTATACTGCCTAAGAAATTGCTTTAATATGATGTAGTTAGTCATTATATGTGCAAGGTCTTATAGATCCTTAGTTTATTGAAAGAAAAGATTATAGTAGTACGTTTGATGATGATTAGGACTCTTATTACATGTCATATTTATATCTTCAGTCCTTTATACAAGTAAAATTTCTCTGGAATAAGCTATCTGTTTATTGTAGCTCACAGTCTATTTTCATGTGTGATTATTTATAGCATATAAAGACTGAAATAACCTACATCTCAGGGTTCAAATTTATTCTGGAATGTGGAACTGAATTATTTATTTATTTAGTTTTGAGTCCCCTCGACGAGTTTCCCTCTGAATATGTATGATATTTAGCTTGCAGATGTAACAATGTCTTGAAAATTAATACGTATTTTTTCCAGTCATTACTCAGAGGCAGATTTCTGCGAAATGAAAGACCTGTTGAGGAGGAGAGACCACCTTCAATGGCTGCAGGTGAATTGGTTCAGTTAAGGCAAAGACACACTGTTTCTGGATTAAGGTAAGTATCTATATCAGGAATTTTTTCTTAATTTTTGTTCTCATTAGTGGATAATTTGGTCTTAGGGAGTAAAATATGATGGTGAGATCTTTTGTGCTTTTAGTATGATATGGGGATAATTATTCAAATCTCTTTTGTCTTAATACAACAGTGATAAATTCGTTATTAGTTTCTCTGTGTTTCTGGTCTACGATACCGCACTGAATTTTTTAAAAGGGTCAAGAAACTACAGATGGTTAATTTCAAATTAGATATGAATAGGAAGGATTTTTGACACTAGTATTTATTACAGTAATATTTGGTAATCTGATATTTTTCCTGATTTTAAGACATTAAATCTATGGCTGAACAAGACTGGGAAAGGTAAATAGGAGATTGTGACATCAGATTGTCTTTTATGGGAGTCCAGTGGGGATCTTATATCTTTCCATATATCTGCTAGTCTATTTTGGGATATCAGTAGGGTCTAATATCCTCCTACATATCTGATTGTCTGTTTTGTGAAGACCAATGAGATCTTATCCTTATTCTATGAAGAATTTTCAGCTAAGGTATTTTGGGGTCATCTGATAATGTTTTTATGCTCTCAATATTGCTAGACTATGGTAGGAATAAATATTAGTGAGAATAGTAAAATAAACAATTTATTACACATACCCTGAATTTATGATCCAACACTGTACTACTATTCTAGTTTATCACATTCACATTGCTAAATAAGATATCATATCACACACACACACACACACACACACACACATATATATATATATGTCTAATAGTTTTATAAGTGGCCAGAACATATATGAGAAAGTAAAGAACAAAACAACTTCCCGACTTTCCATTAAAGGTTTCTCCCTTGCATAATTACTTACTTTAGTGGACTCTTGTTATATTGTGGGATGAGCGCCGATTTAAATTCTGTAGACATCCCCTTCTTAAGGAAGGAAAAGAAAAAGAAAACAGAAAAATAGAGAACAAATTTTATTGTTTGAAATGTTTAGTTTTCCATATCGACAAAAAACAAATGTCACCTCCAATGAAAACTCTCATGTAACGTTATAATCAGCAGTTTTCTCTTTCAATTCCATGGACCAGATAAATGGTTTTAGCATTTAATGAGCAGCAGTTTTTTGAGTATCTCTGTTTATTTTGCGTCACCTCTGTGGTTTATTAAATTTGTAGTACTTTCCTTCTAAGCAAGTATATATTTAATCTAAGCTCTTTTAATAATGTATCTTTGTAATTGTTTATCAGTATATGTGCATTTTTAGGTTATGCATGTATGAGTTCGTTAGTGCGTGTTAAATGACACCATTACCCCTTATTTTTGTCAGGGAAGGGTTCCGCTCGAGGTTAGAAAATATTGTTCGCGGTCAAGTAAGCAACCATTCTGATACCCCATCTAACAATAATACCACTGGTTCTAGAAATGATCAGACTCATACAAATGCTACACAGGAGGTCCAACATGAAAATCATGAGCAGTCACAATCTAGGAGTCAGGAAATTGAGATCCATCACTTGTCGGATCATACTGGAAATTTGGAAAGCAATACAGCTGTTGAAAGCATTAATCGGCAAGAAACTTCTAATCAGGGAGAGGATTGGCAGGAACTAGTTACTGAAGATGTGAGAGGAAACTGGCAGCAGTCAACCTACGACGAGTTTAATGAATGGACAGCTGGCTCTGCAGAAGATATGGATGGAAATTGGCAGGAAAATCCAGTTAATGATTGGCCCCAGGAAGCGCCAGGAAATGAAGGTGGAGAAGAAGGTCATCCTCAAGAAACCCATGAGGTTTGGCATGAGGATGGCTCTCGGGAAGCCGTGGAGAATTGGTCAGAAGCACCTTCTGACTCCCGTAGGTCCCGGCGTTTCATTCCAGTTAGAAGAGTCAATAGATTTCACCCACCTGATGATGATAATGTGTACAGTATGGAGCTCAGGGAACTTTTAAGCCGGTATTAGATTTAGATTGTTTTTGAAGGCCTTCAGTTCTATGTTTGAGAAATTTAGGATTTTTGTTTACATACTTTCTTTAATGTGGTCTTTTGTCTGCTGTAGGAGAAGTGTTTCCAACCTTCTTCGTAGTGGTTTCCGTGAGAGTCTGGACCAATTAATTCAGTCATATGTGGAAAGGCAAGGCCGTTCTCCCATTGACTGGGACCTGCATAGAAACTTGCCCACTCCTGCTTCACCAGAGCAGGATCCGGAGCAACAGAGGGACGAGCAGAACGAGGATCAGCATGATGCTATTGGCAGACCTTCACTGGTGCTTCCATCTCCCCCAGTGCCCCCGCCACAGCCACTTTGGCACCAGGATTTGCATCATTCTAGTTGGCCTCGTCACAGCATGCATCGTTCAGAAATTGTGAGCCATCTTTTATTTACAATACTAGGCACTTTCAAATTGTAAATTGAAATTTGGTTGCTCTCGCCAGGTGTTCTTTCACAATTTTAGGCTAAGTACGATGTTACCTTTTATGATAATTTGAAGGAAGAAGGATTAACTGGAGTCCTATGCAAAAATGATTACGTCCATTGTTTTATATATATCATTTATAGGCACAATTCATCTTGCATATGGTACAGGATTAGTTTCAAGCTAGTTCTAGGTCATCAATCAATTGAGGTCATTCACATTGATAGAATTGGAATGGAAAATGACATTTTTAGTTACATTGGAGCAATTCTACTTTAATGGGTTGCCTCATCTGACGAAAATTCAAGATGTGCAAATCTGTTGCTTTGAGAAGTGGGATCTAGAAAATATGAAACATGCAACTGATAGAGGTGTTTGAGGCATTTAACTACTGATTTTATATTATTATCACCTTTGTTCTTTCATTCTGGACTAATCTATAATGCCAGTCCCGCTTTTATTTTGTAAGAATCTTGCTTTAGATTCTTCCTTCTTATTTAGTGCTGGGTTTAACGGCACTTGGACTGACATTTCTAGATTTTAGGAGATCAAAATCATCTTATTCTTGGGTGTTTTTTTTTGAAAATTCTTACCTTAAAAATTTTCTGACTATGTTGATGCCTCTACCTATTTCTATTTCCATTTTTAACTGAATTTGGTAGCTGATTTGGAGCAGGAATGGGAGATGATCAATGATCTCAGAGCAGACATGGCAAGGCTTCAGCAAGGTATGAGTCACATGCAGAGGATGTTGGAGGCATGCATGGACATGCAACTGGAGTTGCAACGCTCAGTCAGACAGGAGGTCTCTGCGGCTCTGAATCGGTCATCTGGTGGAGAAGGTTTCTGTACATTTTCAATAGAATAATCATTTTTGTTTTCTCACTACTTTTAAAAATTGTCTTAAGGAAATGTGAACATTATTATTTCAGGGGTGGCAGAGACATCAGAGGATGGATCTAAATGGGGTCATGTAAGGAAGGGAACTTGTTGCGTTTGTTGTGACAGTCAAATTGATTCTCTTTTGTATAGGTACGCCTGCTTTTACTAATTTTCACACACACACACACACACACACACACACACGTATATTTGTTTATTTTTGCGCGTGTTAATGCAAAAAGAAATTTACACACTGAGAGAAAGAAATGGTTATCACCTTTCCTTCCTTTTCTCTTCTAAATTTTTTTAAACAAGGGTGAAAAAGTGATCATCTTCTCAAGGATAACTACTATTTTTTTTTTTTTCCTTCCCATTTTTTCTCCGTGACTCCCGCCTCGATTGTTTTATGTATATATTTTTGTGTTGATTCCTTTCTTTTTCTGAAAAACTTGTGCAGATGCGGGCATATGTGCACTTGTTCAAAATGTGCAAATGAGTTGGTTCGTGGCGGAGGAAAGTGTCCGTTGTGCCGGGCACCGATCGTTGAGGTTATCCGAGCATACTCCATACTGTAAAAAGAAAAGCTCAAAGAAAGAAGTATAAATAACGGAAAAGAATGGGCGATGAGATCCACGGCGAGCCATTTTCAGTCTCAAATCTCTCTGAAGCTCCTCAGGCTCTCCTATGTAGAGTGTTTAGTTCCCCTTTTCTTTTTTTATTTACTTTTTTTTTCTTCGATTATATGTGGAATGCTTGTATAATTGGAATAACAAAATGCCACTTTTTTATTCTTCATTCTTGCGTAAATAAAATGTCCCCTGAAAATTCTTTTGTTTTTTCTGCTCAGTCCTTGCTCATGATAACTCCTCAACTTATTCTAAAGTTGGTACTTAAATTCTGTATTAAAGTAACAAAGTTGATATTGTCTTGGATACTTTTCCATGTGAGTTATTGATCAAAATATTCCAATTGGATTTTAAAGAGAAAAAAAAAAAATAAAAAAAAAAAAGATTGTTTTTTCGGTAATTAAATCTTGAAGGTTAACCGGTGTTGTCGATATGCAAGGTTTTAATTTGACTTGCAATAATTAATTTATGACCTAATACATGACTTTTGACAAGTGTAACTGATGTCAAATCATTTTTTGTTTTGTTTTGTTTTGCACTCATCTTAGTTATCTATGGATTAGGAATCAGAAATGTAGCGTTACGCAACATAAGACTACGTACATCACTTATAAATCAACAATGTAATATTATGCAATGAAGGATTGCTTAAGCGATATAAAATTATTGTATTTGCTGCACATGACATAATCCTATGGCACAAGAGAGGATTCGGGTTCACACTAGAAACTTGGTTATTTTTCTCCCTTCTCCAACTCAATCTATCTCTCGGTAATAGTTCAGGAAATGGGAGAGTCCTCGAGTAGATGCTGGTTACCAATTAATATGAGTTTCAATCCCCTCTGCAAGAGGGGATTCTATGCACCTGTCTTGTATTGCTAGTGCAACCGTTACATTTAAAAATTTAATATATGAAATAACAATGTAACGTAATTATTGTATAAGAAATGTATGAGCATAAGACAAACATAGAAGATCTGGTTCCAACTAATATAAACGTGTTTAGTAAGACATTCCAACTACTAATTGATGTTGATCTTATACACCCACCTACAAGTCTTTCAACATTTAAGCTTATACACCTACTAGTCTTTCAAACATTTAAGGTTTTGTACCCCTACAACCATATGAATGATATTATTTATTGTATTGTATTTCAGCACCACACGCATGTTAGGAATTATGTTTCAAATTTTCATTATTATTATTACTTTCTATTTTAGAGTGTATTTTTTATGGTAATTTCTTATAAAGACATGAATTGGGTTCTAAGAAATTATAATACTTGTCTACAAAGGAATTGGGTATGTGATTCTATAAATAGACACTTAGGCTATTGTCGAGAGTTATGAGTTGAGAGAGATGTAGTCTCATGAGGGAGTACGTTGATAGTAGGAGTGAGTTACGGGTTTGGTAGAGTGAACACTGATGGCGAGAGGGAGTCTTGTGGAGTACACGGAGAATTCGGTCAAAAATTTGTGTGCATGGTCCGGTGTTGAAATTCTCTACTATTGTAATATCTCTACATATATAGTGATTCTCTTCTCATTCGTGGATGTAACCCTGATTTTGGGTGAATCACGTATATATCTTGTGTTATGGTTTGAATTGTTGTTTTATTTCTTTCTTTTGCTTCCGTTGTTCCCCAACAACATAAACACAAACACACACACACACACATATTATTGAGTTTAAGATGTGTTGGATCACCTAAGAAAGAGGCTTATTTGAAAAGAAAAGAGAACTTAAAAGTTTTTATGAAAAAAAATGACATATTATTGAGTTTAAGATGCGCTAGATCACCTAAGAAAGAGGCTTATTTGAAAAGAAAAGAGAACTTAAAAGTTTTTCTGAAAAAAAAATGATTCTGTTTTGAGAAACATTTTGGCTACATTTTTTTTTTTTAAATTATTATTATTATTATTATTTATCACCTTGGATTCTCATGTTCCATATTATATATATAGAAATGTTCACTTGCTCCTTAGAAATGTGCACACCTCTTAAAATATATACATGCGCGCGCACACATACAGAGGAATGGATTTTGGCAGACTGGGTTGATATATATATATATATATATATATATATATATATATATATATATTTTATCCTTGCAAATTAGGGGGATAAAAACTTAAACATAGATATACCTGCTCGAAAAATTGAACAATCTATCGACTAGGCCACTAAGAGGCTGAACTTGAAACCATAGCTCTCGAGCTAAAACGATGGGTAGGGTTGTCTTGTCTGACTAAACCAGTCACAACCTCATTTGGGCTTCTTCTTAGCCTGGACCTTCCAAAGCCCAAGAAAATGAAATGTGATCAATTGCCAAGTGAGAAGGGCTTTTTTTCATTTTTTATGGTTCCATAAGCTTTGAACAATAAAATATACTACTGTTATATATAGATGATGATAGTCAATAAAGTCTTTAGGTGGTCAATAGCAATTAACATATGATATCAAATATAATAATATAACGTAATTTTTACTTAGGATTTTTCTTACATACTATATCAATCACTATCAATTATAAAAGTTTAAGACGCTAGAAAGGGTGTAAGAAAATTTCATAAATTTACCTAGTGATAATTAAAGTCTTCTTAATAATTCTCATATAGAGCATAAAAATTCCAAATTATTTCAATAATAGAGAAATAGAAAAGCAAGAGCACCTAAAAATTTTGACTTCTATCATAATTAAGTAATCTCTCATATATTATATTCCTTCCACACAACTCATTTTCGTTTCAATTGATTTTTTTTTTTCAATGCATGCATTATATGCATATTTGCATTGCCTTCAATGCCTTTGAATGAGTGCAATTTGTTCATAGAATGACATTTTCAGATCTAGAGAAGACCTTGTGGTCAAATATAGGACCACAAAAGTTGTAAGCAAGACCAGCCAGTTTGATAACAACAAAAAAAGGGTCAGATTTGGTGCTTCAAGATTTCAAAGTCTGATATGTTCATTTCACATGAATAATTCCTTCATAATTTAACATTGAATAAGGTTTTGAACTAAACATTGTATGAAATGAAGTTAAGGTTAGCATCAATCAATCACTACGATTCTTCAATGCATTTGACTAATTCTGAATCTTGTTTAATCAAAGTTTTTCCATCTGTTGACAGAACTTCTCTCACAAAACTTTTAGTGTTTCTACATGTGTGTGTGTGTATATATATATATATATTTTAAACCTGATTAGTCAACTATTAAAATCTTCATATTCTTTAAGAGGAGGTGAGGAGATCGGGTCCGGTCGAAAAGCGTGTGCGACCGGGTATGTGAGGAAACTGATAATTTTGACGTCACATTTATACATGTTCAACTAGTTCATGTATGACCAAAGATCATGTAACGTATTAGTACTTTAGCCTTCCAAAATAGAAGGTCTTGGGTATGGGTGGCCACGGATCGGATCAGATATCAATCTTAATCCGATCGGCTCCCAATGGATTGAAAAAAAATTAATCCGCCATCGATCTGTGAAACAATGGATCGAATCAGTAGAACGATGGATCGGATCTGTGGATTAGGATTTTTTTCTAAATTGTCAAATTTATTTATTTATTAACCATTGCCCAATTGATAAAATTTCAATTTATCAACATTAGTTCATATATTTAAATAATCATGAACTAATACATTCTTTGAGTTCATTAAATGGTGATTAACTAATTAAATTAATTAATACATTCTTTGAATATATATATATATATATATATATATATATATATATATATATATTTCGCGGATCAGATTGGATCCCAATTCATGAATTATGAATTCAATTATTTTGAATTCGCCACCGATTCGTGAGTGTAGCAATTTGATCCAATCCGATCGGATTCATAAATTATTTGCCCACCCCTAATCGCGAGTGTATTATTATTTTTTTTCAATAACAAAAAAATAATAAAAAAATAAAAAATAAATAAAAAATAGTTGATGTATGAGTTCAACTAGTTTTTACGAGCTCTATTTTAAGTTTGGACAATTTATTAGATCCTTATTTTTAGGATAAATTACTCTCAAGCCCTTTTAACTTTTCACATTCAGATTAAAATTTGGTGTAAACTAGGGTCAGTCTCCCCTGAAGCTTGGAGAAGTTACAAGTTACAACTGGTTTGTTCATTAGTATGTTTTTAGTTACATCTGAACAAATAATTTATGCAATGCTAAAATTATCCTTCAATGAATCATTGATGTTATATGTTTACCCTCAACATTTAATTTATAAGAACTTAAATTATATTTATAACACACATTTTTTAGTTTATAAGAATTTAAATTACATTTATAAGACACATTATTTACATTGATAAGGGTATCAGAAAATTTCAACCGAATCCATTTCAAAATAAAAAATTATAACTCAACCTAGAAAATAGAGGAAGGAAATCACCCATTTAGAATTGCAGAATATAATAATCTCACTGATTTTGTAAAGCATTTTCACTAATTTATCTTATTTTTAATGACATCATACTAAATTATAAGTTTGTAACATCTTTTTTCTATAAAATTACCACTCACACCTCTCTTCTAGGCTCCACACTTTGTGATTGTTGATTAAAAATGAAACTTTTATAAACATGCTAAATGTGAATGGTTAAGATACATTACCATTAAAAATATCTAGGTGCAACTTTAAATACATTCTTTGTGACGTGAATGGAAACTCGAATTAGTTTAACTCAAAACTATTTTTTTTTTTTTTTTTTTTTTTTTAAGATTTAATTTTTATACATTAAAATGGTTTAGTGACATAATAGGTACTGTGATTGAGGTATTTTTATTCAAAGATTCAATCTTTACTCATTAAAATACTCTTTGGGACGTCGAAAGGAATTCGAATTAACTCAAAACTCTCATTTTCTTTAAAAAATTCAACCTTTATACATTAAAAAGGTCTAGTGACATAATAAGTACCTTCATTGAGATAATTTCATTCAAAGATTCAATCTTTACTCGTTAAAACATTCTTCGTAACGTCAAAAGGAACTCGAATAAGTTTAACTCAAAACTCTCATTTTCTTTTAAGGATTTAATTTTTATACATTAAAATGGTCTAGTGACATAATAGGTACCTTGATTGAGGTATTTTCATTCAAAGATTCAATCTTTACTCATTAAAACACCATTCGAGAAGTTAAAGAAAACTCGAATAATTTTAACTGAAAACTCTCATTTTCTTTCAAAAATTCAATCTTCATACATTAAAAAGGTCTAGTGTTTTTTTATTTTATTTTAGAAAACACTAGTATTCTAAATATTACTATTAAACTTTTTAAAATCCTCTAATACTTCACAACCACCAATGAATGCTCTATAATCCACTCTTCGCATGTGCCAAGCAGAGTTTTCCTCGTCGTTTGTTAACAAAGGCATAGCATGATAAATGAAATGGATCTCTGGTCAGCCTTGCCAAACATAAGCAAGTCATCTGCCATAAATGTACCAATTTCACCTTTTTCATACCTCCATGACAATTTCACTTTGGTAAAGGAAATCAAATTTTTAGTGGAATAGATGCAACACGTTATGTCGTTGAAAGGCGAAAAAGTAAGTACCACTAAACTGTAATCCTTTGGTCAACATGTTTTTTTTTTTTTTTTTTTTTGTTATTTTGATTGTGATTTTGAAAGCCTTTCTAATCTCCATTAATGATTGTTGGTTTTAGAAATTATGATCATGACTTTAGCATTATATGCATATAATTTTTATTATTCTTATTTTTTTGTTTTTCCACAGGATAGGTTTTGCTTTTTGTCGTCGTCATCGTCGAATGAACTTGTTTTCCCCGCCCCTTGTAATTTTGTAAATTCTTTTTGTTTTCTTATGCATGCACATGAATTACACACAAATAGTAATATGCATAAACTAAACATTTTTTACTGCAAAAAAAATAAAAAAATAAAAAATAATAAAATAATAAAATATAGCCAAATCATGCATGGAAAAAATACATGGCCAATTTTAATTTTTTATTTTTTTTAAAAAATGAAATTGCTTGGTGATTCAATATTCAGATCTTGTGGGGACACAAATAGCTGACTTTGGGGTCGAAATGAGCAGAATTATTGGACCAATTAGCCATGATATTTCTCTGAATACTATTCAGAATTGATTTATTCAGGTCAAGTCTTCTAAGCATATATGAGAGTTTTCTAGAGAAGTCCACCATGTTGGCAATTCAAGCTACTCATCTGCGAATGATAATTATTTTACTAATTTCACTTTTTCACTTTTCCACTTTTCCACTGATAATATTAACTTTGACAAAGCAAAACCAATTCTTTATATAGTGGAGTTACAACACGTTTTTAGTTAGTTTGATTAAAATATGCATATAATAACCTTTTTTGACTGCAAAAGAAAAAAGAAAAATCTAAATCATGCATGGAAAAAATTAATATATGACCATTTTTTTTTTATTACTCCGTATGAAATTGCTTGGTCATTCACTCGAATCTTGTAGGGACACAAATAGCTGACTTTCGTGTGAATAATTATAAGACAGATATATTCCAATTAGAGATTTTTTTTTTTTTTTTTTTCACATTATAGGACATATACTAGCTGCGTTTTCTCTGAAAGTGACTCAAGGGTAAATGCACCACATTGGTCCATATGCTCACTTTTGTCTAGGGTTGTTTTGTTTTTGTTTTTGTTTTTGTTTTTTTTTTTTTTTTTGTATAGTTTTACCCTTATGAGAATGCCTTATACATTGAGAATCAAGAGATTTAGCATTCACTACCCTTCACAAAGAAAAACAAAGTAACAAGAATGTAGCTTGAAAAGCAAAAAAAAAAGATGCTCTTATTATATACTATTCTTCTCAAAGTATAAGTTCAGTTTTAAGAAATACATGACCTCCCATTTGATCATTTTTATTTTATAAGCTGCTAATATAGGTTAAATTTGAAGAAAAATATGACCTCCCATTTGATCATATTTACTTCTATAAGCTTCTACAATAGTCAAAACAAATAGATTTTTACATGATTCTAATATAATCTATGTTTCTCCTTCAAGTGATCAATTTCCTAGACTCCAAGAAATTCTTGCTCTTGGGTTCACAAGATGAAACATATTCAAGAAAAGTGGCGAAGTCTGTGTCCATGTAACGCCTCGGATTGTCTTCGTTAATGAGCTTTGGCGATGGACGAATCATGCTGTCAAAGGGCAGACTGTGCAATGAAGCAACTGAGATTCGCGACTTTGAAGAATTCACTAGAACCCTATGTAGCACACTCTTGTATCTGCCATTGCTAAATATCTGTCAAATTAACAAGCAACCCCAAAGATTAATTAAACACATTGAACCATATCTGTCATAATTAATAAATATTGTATGAAATGAAGTGTTCTTGTATTTATGGTAGTTAGGTTTTGTGTGTGGGTGTGTCATTTGAAGAGAAATTTCATAAATTAGTTGCAATTGATAAATTTAATTAACTAACCTCAAGATGGTCACCAACATTGACAACAAATGAGTTTGGAATCGGCTCGACTGTTACCCATCTCCCTTGATGCTGTATCTGAAGGCCCTTGACTTCATCTTGAAGAAGAAGTGTGAGCAAGCCATAGTCTGAGTGAGGTGGCATGCCAAGTGTTAGGTCTGGTTCTGGACATGAAGGGTAGCAATTCACCACCATGAGTTGGCTACCATCTTCAAATTCTCTCAAATTCTCGCTCTCTCCAATGGTCTCCACCAATCCCAGGCTCTCCAGGATCGCCTCCATTAGCATTAGGTACAAGAATTTAGTTTGCTTCGAGTAGTTTGTCGCGGCCTCCCTGTTAATATCAATCAAAGTAAGAAAAATTAGGATCGAACTCGAATACTCCCAATGGAGGAGGGAGCGAGAGAGTCTCGTGTACTGGACTAATATTTTTACTTACACTAATTTATATTGATATATATATAATATATATCCATATGCATGCATGTGGTCAACTATTTATTTATTTATTTATTTTTAATAGTTCACCTTAAGTCCACAGGAGAAGAAGGCCAATAGGGAAGAACATCTGATAAGGGCTGGCAGCTGAGCTTCAAGAAGTCTCTCCAACAAAACACACCATCTTTGTTTTGATTGAAGCTTGTTCCATACCGGACCGGTGACCGCATATCCGATGACATGTACTTTTCTCTCTCATCAAAGGGGAGCTCAAAAAATTTCTTACCTACATCTATCATGCTGCTTATAACATCTGTTGCCATGCCATGGTTTATCAACTGCACATATCAATCCAACAAAAAAAGGTTAATTAAATATTCATTTAGCTAGGTTTTGACATTTTCATTCATTACATTAATTATACATAAAAATATACATATATACGCTTATATAATAAAATAACAGGAAGTAGCCCTCAAAACTAGTTCAAGTATGCATAATATTGCATGCCTATATTAATATAATGCTCTTAAATTAAGAAGCATAAAATTAAGGTCAACCCCCACCTGAAAAAAACCATAGTCTTGGCAAGCTTTTGCAATGGAGTCAAGAACTTGGGACCTGTTGGAACCTTGCAACTGAGCGAAATCGATGACAGGTAGCTTGAGATTAGGGTTTGCAGCATTGTGATCATCCTTTCTTGAATAGGGTTGTTCCGAAACCGGCAATATGTATTTTGTTGGAACTTTTTTAATCCCCCTCTCACATAGATGTTTCACTCCTTTCTGGTATAGTTGCTCATCTTCTTTGGTGTTTTCATTCACTGCCAAACTCATTGAAGGAGACATGGATACAAACTAGTAGTATTACTATATATATATATGTATATTGAGATATATATATATATATATATAGAGAGAGAGAGAGAGAGAGAGAGAGAGATTAGAGAGAGAATAGGGGTGATGAAACATATGAGAGGAGGTGGTGTATATATAGGAGAAAAACAATGGGAGTAGCAGTGACAAGTTTTTGTAAAACAGGGGTAGATTCATAATGGACTGCTTCCACCAATTCATTCCTACAGCATTCAAAACCATTGACTTGGTATAGTCTCAGTCAGACAATTACAAAGCGCTGCTGTGAAGAAGATTGTACCTATGGCCCCATTTTTCTAGACTTTTTCAAATGTTATGGACCTTCAATTCTCTCTCTCTCTCTCTCTCACTCATGTAATTATAATTTTACTAAGACTTGTACCCTTCTAGGAGATGGCAAAATTTAACAAAACTAGGGAGTGTCCATTGACTAGGTTTAAAAGGACAGATTTTATGGATGACTTGTAAGACTAGGTTAGGGTTACTATGGCTTCCTTATAATAAAATTTGAAAAATGATAAAGAGTCCAGACTGTGGTAATAACGTCGTTCTTCACTCACATAAATTTAGTTGGATTAATTTGAGAATTGAACTTCTATCACAACTCCCATATTTTACTCATGAATTTTTAATCGTGGCATAAGCATGATTACTTAATTATCATAGTACCCCTGTCTGATGCCTCATAATTTTGGAACATGGGTTGATCAAGTTCGCGCATAAAATCAAAAAAATATCAAAACAATTAAAATATTTAACAAGCACATATTATAAAATGAAATAAAAAATAAAATAATAGCTGTAGCAAATTAATAAATAACGAACTTATAAGGGTGATGCATGAATATGGTGTAGATGACTGTGTATAGGGCCATCTATATATAGTTGACCTTTAATTGTAGGCGTCACTTGGCTCCTGTGCTGATGATGCTAGTGATTTGAGCCAATTACTTGCACGTTGTTGAACTGTTTTATATAAACAAAACCTCAAAGCCCCAAATTGATATATTTTTATATATTTTATCATATTACTGGCCTCAACATATATATATATATATATATATATATATATATTATATTATATTATATAGACTTATGTATATGTTATATTATATTATATAGACTTATGTATATGTGGATAAGTTTTACTTGTAGATATAAACTTTTTAAAACACTGGAAGACATTGCTTCCAGTGACCTAGGTTATTGAGGGAGATATCCTTAGATTTTGTACTATGAACTTGTAAGGGTTTGCCATTAAGTCACTCAACAAAATAAGAATTTGTTTTTTCCACACAAGTATAGGAGCAGAGCCACAAGTATACTATGTAATTAAAGTTAGGAAATTTTATACATTAATTATAAAAATTCTTAAATTTGAGCTTTTAAAAATATAGTTAAAAAGAGTAGAAGTTGAAAAATTACTAAGTTTCAAAGAGATTTATTTTCAACTTATTTTGAGAAAATGAGGGGCCAATTAAATTTTTTAATGAATTTTAGGGGAAAAACAAACAAAGTAATTAATATTTAGGGATATAAATAAAAATTTTAAGAAAATTTGGGGGGCCATGGCCATTGCTGTCCCACCCCTAGCTCCACACCCGCACAAATACCATGTCTTAATTGTCATCAACAATTATATTTTGTTACATAATTAAAATTGTATCCTATTAGTTAATGTGATTATTTATTTAGCCGGTGATCATGTTATCAATATTGGGCAGATATTATATATATATATATATATATATATATATATTTTTTTTGAACGTTTTGGAAACGTTGAATTGTGGAAGTCTCTCAATCTAACGACTATGAAGAGTTACTTTTTTTTTATTTACCGAAAAAAAAAAAAAAGAGTTACTTTTCAACCAAAATGTGGGTAAACGGTATTGAATCGTTGTGCCCGTTAAGCACGGGCTCGCCACCTGTGGCCCGCCTTTTCTCTCTCCTCTTTTAAGTCGAAGTCCCCCCAGAAACTGATTGTTACAGTTTTATATATATATATATATGTGGATAAAGTGCACTAAACCACGCTTAAACTTTCTTCTCATTCTTAATAAACTATGAAAAAGACACTTAGTTCCTTAAACTATCTAAATTGTTATAAATGTTAAGTTACGATTAGAAATTTAATAGAATATCTGGCACGTGAATGGCAAAATTTTTTAAAAGACAGAATTAGCCTTATGGCATTCAATAGATAAAATATGATATATATATATATATATATACACACACACACACATTTGTGTGTATGTACACGCCATTTTCTCACTGGTCATCTTCTTTCCCTCAACCCAGCCCTCCATCTTCAAACCCTCTTCCAGTTGCTGGGACACATTCACAAAGAACTATTTTATCTGTTATAGTCATGAACGAAATAAAAAAAATAGATGAAAATCTCAATTTTGTTCGACACATTATTCACGGTGGGTTAAAAAAAATTTCCACTTCCAATTTTGTCAATTGGGTGATACATGAAACATGTACTTCAATTTGGAAACTACCTTTTTCTTACTGGAACTTTTTCTTTCACAAACACGACGACACTCGTAGCTCTCTCTCTACATAAAACATATATATATATACACACAATGTGAGGACGAAGAGTAAAGCACGATGAGAGAAAAAAATGAACAGAAATCCCACAAACCCAGATCTTTAAAGATTCAATTTCATCGTAATTTGAACAAATTCAGCAAATCGGATGGTCAAATTACAATGGGTTCTTCGCAGTAAATTGTCCCGATTGTAACGGAGGATTCGTTCGAATCTTTACTGCTAGAGCGCGCCGGCGATGGATATTCACGGTCTCCGCCGGCGTCCCCGATGATGATTGCTTTGGCAATGGACGTGGTTGTGCAAATATCACGGGGCTACCATGTTTCTCACGAGCGTGGATGTCGTCGTCAGATTGTAGGTAATAGTTTAGGATTTCGATGACCGGAAATGAACTGTCTTTCCTCATGTCACCGGAGATGGTGGTTTTGTCCACTGTTTATGGTGTCCACCGTCGGATAACTTAAAAAAAAAAACAGAGGGGAGAGAGAGAGAGAGAGGAGAGAGAAGAGATGACCTAAAAAAAGAAAAAAAAAAAATCAAATAGTTAAACAATATTGATAACATTGATGTGCTGTCACTTTTTTATTGGACAATGAAATTGTTTTGTCACGTGGCAACTGAAGTTAGCTGAACTAATATGAGGGTGAAAAAGTAATTTACTTTTTCTGTTAACGGCTTATTAACGTTTTATACTCTGGTGCAACAAAATAATAGTTAAGGGGGTTTTACTTATTTCAGGAGTTTTTTTTGCAATCCCGTCATTAGTTTAGGAGGTTTAGTGCACTTTACCACATATATATAATAATAGTTAAACTAATATGAGGGTGAAAAAGTAATATATTTTTTCTGTTAACGGCTTATTGACGTTTTATACTCTGGTGCAACAAAATAATAGTTAAGGGGGGTTTTACTTATTTCAGGAGTTTTTTTTTGCAATCCCGTCATTAGTTTAGGAGGTTTAGAGCACTTTACCATATATATATATATATATATATATATATATATATATCTCTGGTTGAAAATATAAATATAGCGAGGAACCAAGCTAGGGTTTTTTAGTTAGGAATTTAGGATTGGAGAGTGGTGGGGGATGCCAAGCTGTTCCACAGTGTCTGGCTTGTGAGAACCATTTGTCCTTTCTTCTTCATTCATTGCATGGTCTCTGAATCCACAAAATCAGCTACCACAGAACATTGTATTGGATATTTTTTAAGTCACCTCTCACTTGTCATCTCTGTCTTGTCCGTGATTCGTTGTGTTTATACGTGAATTCAATCTCTATTATGCATTATACAAACAATGTGGGGGCACATATCTCTCACACACATGTGTGTGCATATATACATATATAATGCGTTTAATTGTAACAAGTCATGAAGAATTTGGTAAGCAAAATGGTGGGTGGTAGTTGTAATATATAGCATTGGCTTGGTGATAGTATTTAAAATATAGTACCTATCATACGAAATTAGTTTGGAGGTCTTTGACATTTTTATGGTTTTGAAATTTTATGGTTTTGACATTTTTTTTTGTTTTTTGGACGTTTAATTAGTTTGGCACAACTTTATTGAATATTCGTAAACATGTACAAAAATTGTTGACCGAGAAGTTGGAATTGTTCCCTTGGTCAATTTGTGAATTTTTTTCATTTCTTCAACAATTCGAAACATTTTTAGTACAACAAACGTTTTTTTGCACGATCATTCTCATATATAATCACATCATAAGTGTGAGTACAAGATCTGTCTCATACCATACAACACAGTGCTGTTACAACATTGGATCCGGCCTTCTCTTTGAGTTGAAAGCGATACTACCAAGGTCAAAGTCTGATGGCCGGTCAATAGCGTTCACTTTATTTTGGGCACTGTATGCTGAAACTTCATCTTAATTTCCAGTTCATGCAAAATAGTTGCATGGTTCATGATTGGACTGTTACCTACTACATAATTAGCGTAATGCTGTGCAAAAGACTTTCATTTTTATAATTTGGTAGTTATCTCGTTGACAGAATTTTAATAATGCTATATAATATATGTATTTATATTACTAGTAATATAGTATCTCCGTCCCATAATAATTGTCAATTTGAAAAACTTTGACTCACTACTATCTTTTATTTTTGAATCATTTGATGTTATTTTTAGTCATATTCCTTTAATATACTTATATACTACATATATCCCATACTAAAGGTTTTTTCGATAATTTTGATTTATAAAAATTGTGAGGCAAAATTTTTGGAGTTGACAATTAATATGGGACGGAAGAAATATGTATATATATATATATATGCAACAGAACACATGACAAAATGCAGAGTCAATGGTTTCTAGTCCTGTGGCTGGGGTTGGAGCTGCCGAAGCAATATGGCATTCTTTGATTTGTAATTGAGGTGACACTGGTTGATCCCCACCAAGGTCTAAGGCAGCTATAAATGTCATAAATATACTTACATGTATGTATAG